CTGGTTTAAATAGTAAGATTAAATGCTCAGTTTAAAAAGATTTCCCAAGGGAGAGTAACGGGACACCCCTGTCCCTTCACAGAAGCATCCTCCCCATGGTCTCCCCATCTCTCACTGTGGGGAAAAGATAACTGGCTTCATGACACAGACAAGGCGAACATAAACAGAAAACCTAAGAACAGACTTGGACAGACTGTACTACACAATGTCATCTAGTTCAGACCTTTCAGACAATCAGACTCACCTGGGGTGATACCCAGGCCACTCCCCACAACACCTTGGGGTGGAATTTCTGGGACATGACACGTGGGAACCCAAGACCCAGTGGCTTCTCAAGGAAAAGGGGTTTGGGGCTCTGAATGCCCAATCTCAGCCCTTTCCAGCTACCTGAGCTAGAAGAGCATGTGACTTTCTTCCCAGCCTTGAATTCCTCATCTATAAACTAGGAATGATATTTTCTATTTCTGTACAGCCCCAATCGGGATTAAATAAGGTCATGTGTCTAAATCACTCTGTAACTTGGGGCATATGGTGAGTGCGTTAGGACTGTCACTATTTACCTTTCCTCATCAATGGCACCACGGACCTTGAGGTGGCCCAGCACTCAGCCCTCATTCACTGATTCCTACAGTCCCCTAGTCAGTGGTAAGGTCGCCTGGACTGAGTGTCGGAAAGGCTGCAGCTTTTCTGAGGGACGAGTGCGATCACCTGACAGGGTAACTCATTTCCTCAGTGACAGCAGGATTTCTTTAGTCACTGGAACCCAACATGGGCAGTATCACCAAAGGAATAATTTTACGAAAGAGAGGAAAACCTACAGAAGGGTGTGGGGCCGCATCTTGATCGAGAAGGAATTTCGAACACCCCTCTCACAGATGAGGAGGAGGCCAAGTTTCTTTTAGGGAAGGACTTGGGCACACTGATGAAGCAAGCCCCAAATTTCAATGTTTTAAAAATATATGCTTATGTAATAGTTAAAGGCAGGGTTTCCGGTCGCATAGCCTGCTGCCCCCTCAGAATGAAGCAGTCTTTGGAAAAGAACGAGATGACAAAGATTCTAGTAATCTTTAGGTGAGGGTGAGATGCGGTGGGCAGGGGAGCCTCCAGGAGAGGGCAAGAAAAAAATTTGCAATTGCTGCTTCTCAACAGTTTTCTTCATGGACTCTGAAATCATAAACGAAGTTAGAAGGATAAAAGGCAAGATTTCCTTATGGCAAGAACTGTTGGTGTGGGGCTAGGAGAGTAGCACCTGGTAATCGCTGTTTGCTCCTTTGAGTAAATAGGGATGGGTCACCTCCCTTCCTTGGCTGGGACAGCTGCTTCCTCTGTCCATGGCCATTAGTCCTTGCTATTTATTCACCATAGGAAAATCGTCCCTAAAATCTCAAAACTGAACAGAACGAGTCATTCCTGTCCAGTCTTGATCTACTGCAAGAAGCCCCTTAAAGGGGGAAAAAAAAATAACCCCATATGTATAATGCCCAGATTTTAAGTAGATGGGGGAGAGACAGAGACAGACATGGAGAGACAGACAGAGATCAAGAAACATAGAGATAGAGACTTAGGTAGGACATATGTGAATTCTATCTAGAACACAGGGAACATATTTCATGTATTCATTTTACTGGTTTTTTTAAAAGATTTTATTTATTTATTTGATAGAGATCACAAGTAGGCAGAGAGGCAGGCAGAGAGAGAGAGAGAGGAGAGGAAGCAGGCTCCCTGCTGAGCAGAGAGCCTGATGCGGGGCTCGATCCCAGGACCCTGAGATCATGACCTGAGCCGAAGGCAGAGGCTTTAACCCACTAAGCCACCCAGGCGCCCCTCATTTTACTGTTTTTGACTAATGATTAAACCCATGGCTTCAAATGTAGAGCTATTTTGCCTGCAAAAGTGAAAGGAAAACATCCTGGGTATATTGTATGAAAATGTAACATATTTAAAAGTAAAAATTTCGGGGTGCCTGGGTGGCTCAGGTCCTTAAGTGTCTGGCTTCGGCTCATGATCTCGGAGTCCGGGGATTGAGCCTCCATCAGGTTCTGTGCTCAGCGGGGTGTCTGCTTGTCCTTCTCCCTCTTCTTTGGCGCTTCTCCTTCTGGTCCCTCCGTGCCCCCACCCTCTGATAAATAACATCTTAAAAAAAAAATAAATAAAAATTCCCCTAGATTTCCAAACATTTCAAACATTCTTTCTGGAAGCGTATTCTTAACTTTCTCTCCAATACATTCTTATATAATTCTCATTTCAGTCTCTCTGACTTCCGTCTACCAGAGCAAATCAATGTTATGAATGGGAGAAAACACTGTGCTGACATATACAGTTTCCTACGGCAAGGTCACATCTTGCGCATGGCCAGTTCCTTTTTCCCTGGGGGACATAGGTCGGACATGTGCCAATGTGATTTTTCTGGCTACTCCTCTATTGATCCTGATTTGGGGGTCTCCGGGTTCCTAAGTCTTGTGCTTCTAAGTCTTTTCTCCTTAGGCTAAGATTTATCGGCTATTTTCTCAAAGTTTTTTCTGCCAAGAAACACAGTTAGCAGAAGTTCTCCTGGGAATAACCGGTCTGCATCGGGTGAGGCGGGACCGCGTGTGATCCTAGAGAAGGGACTGGAACAGAGATAACCCACAGGACAGGCGCCGGCTCCACGTGCTGTTGGAGGGGAGTCAAAGTTCCTCCTCCCTGTGGTTCCAGTTAGCGAAATTTCAGTATGGATGTCTCTTAAAGTCCTTGTCAAAGGAAGGCAAGCTCTGAAAGCAAGCCAGTGTGAATGGAAGGATATTCAACAGCAAGCATCCCAGGTGCAAGTAATGTCCAAAACATAGAATGGATGACTCTAACCTTGCATCCAGTCTCTTGAAATATACCAAGAGATGCCTAGCGGAGCCTCAACGAAGTCCTTCTGTTCAAGCAGGAGAGGGAGAGCCCTGCGTGCTTCTCTTCTCTGCCCAGTAAAGCTGTTTCTTAGTAAATTTGTCTTCCTGGTAGTTTACAAGGTCGGGAATGTTACTCAGCTGCCACCTTATGAAATCTGAGCCATTTCAACTTTGCCATGCTGTTAGGTGGAGGTTTCCAGGGCGTGGTGGTAGGACAGGAGTCACATTTACATATTCCACAGCAATTCTGAAATGCTCAGCCTCTGTCGCTCTGTCATGCATCAGTCAGTGATTTCGTTAAGCACCAACTGTGTACTGAGGGAACGCAGTTTCAGGCCCAGGAGCAGCCCTACCCTTTCACCCTGGCCTTGTTTGAAAAAGACCCCAGTCTGGCCTTGCTCTGGTTATACCTCTCTCCCACTGGCTGAGGAGTCCATAGACCCAAAACTGCAAGCTGACCCACACACCATACCCCCTTTCTAGACTTGTTAGGGGTACCTAGGACCCTAGAATTCCCTGCCTGACACCTCCAAATTCTCTTTAAGGCCTGCATGGATCCTTCCCCAGGTCTGTCCTCTGAAAAATGACAGCACAGTATACCCCTAGGCCTGGGAATGGCCAACAGGAGACTGTTGGGCAGAAGATGAAAAGACTCACACTTGGACACATACACAGAGGTGTCCGCACACACGGGCACTGGGGCTTCAAGCCAAGCAGGACAATTCTGGGGCTGAGAAGTGGGATAGGGTCAGGCTGAGAGCCAGACAACTCCACATGTCCTCTTGCCTTGGGGCCTGAGGGATAAGCCTGTTCACAGGGACTCACCATAGGTCTGGCCACTCTAGAGGCCCCAGGAATTCTGGAAGCCAAAGACAGATTCAGGCTGAGCAGCCACCAGAGGGGCTGGTAGCATGACAGAGACAGAAATCCACAGGTAACTTCCGACCGGTCCAGCTGAATCGCTCCTCCCCAGAGAAGGCAACCTCTTTGTTAGCAGAAAGTGGTTTATTCACCCGGCTCCCCTAAGCTTCCCCGCCACCAGCAGGTTACCACTTCACTATAGAAAGCAGGTGGGACAATACATTTGTGATCAATGGAGTTTGTGTTTGGTAAGAAGGTGTAGAAGAGTAGAAGCTAAAAGGTGGGGGTGGGGTTGGGCCTTTGTCAGGAACCCCTTCTGCATTCTCCACTGATCCACTGCGGATTGGTTAGGTAGGCGGTGGGGTGAAGGCCCATGCCAGCGAGCCCTGTTGGTGCAGGGAAAGGGTCAGGGACATGATTCAGAGGCCCAGCGGCTGTGCTACCTGCTTTCGCAGCTGTAAACTGGGAATAAAAGCACTGTCTCTTCACAGACCGTTTCGAGGTGACGATTACAATGGTAACTAATAACCAGCATGTCTATACAATGGACACAGTTTCTTTCACCAGCATTCCCTCATTGTATCCTCACCACAATAATAATTATTTATGCCCCCAATTCACACATGCAAAGAGAAGTTGAGAGGGATCAAGGGACCTGCTCCAGGTGACACAGCCCGACCAAAGTTAGGTGCTGGGCTAAAAATCCTCCTTCTCCTTACAGGACTTGATTTTTGTCTTTCATCCATATTTGTGAACATGTGCTATCATGCAAGTCATCATTTCTGATTGTCACTTTTGATGACTTTGAAGACATGTGCTTTTCAAAGCCTGTTTCTCACAAGGAAGAGCCTGGAAGCTGGAAACCTGCAGGACAGGCGGAGCTGACTCTTCCTTCCAATTAGAAGCGGGGCTTGGGGTAAAGGGCACGGTCAAGGTTGGGGGGGCAAGATGGAAGCACAAACAAGGCAAATACCAACTAAGCTTGGGAGATCTTCATCGCCTGGTGCTGTCAGAGGAAAATGTCACTCAACATCCCTCCTCTCAAAAAGAGAAGATCTACAGTATATCATAGAGAATAACACGGAATTTGCCTTGCCCAGAACTCCGCTCCTTCCCAGAACACAGAAAACAATATCATATAATAATAAAGCTTTGGGGCACAGATATAGTTTACCAAGATCACAGTTAAGACAACACAGTAGAGGTAAAATAAGATAAAATAAAATAAATAAAATAAAATAAAACGTAAATAACAGTAATTACCTTGAGTATATAGGATAGCTTTCTGTGAAGAAATTCAAGTACTGTGTGTATAGGTATGTGGAGATATATGTAAAAGTTTCACCTTTCCTTTCACAACATCCCTGCAGAAGCAGAAAAGGGAAACATAATTAATAGGCTATACAATGATACCTGTAACTTTCCTTCTGGCTCTAAAATTCGAAGTCACAGTTACAAACCAGTGGCCAAATTTGGTACAGGTGGAACTGGCCCTACGAATCGGTTTCGTTTGATTTGGGGAGTGTTTTAACATAATTTGCACTGATATCTAAAATTCAGGAATTTTCACCAAAAAATCCAGAGTCACAGCTTCACTTGAAAACAATAACAACAAAACAAAACAAAACAAAAAAACCCAGAAGATCTGGCAGTAATCACAAGACATGCGGGCCTTAATTGAGGCGTAAGCTTCATCAACCAGCCCACTGCTCATTTCGGTTACCTGCCCGGGCTTCTAAAGCATTAACGTTATAATTCCTTACGCTTCTAAGATTCATCAATGGGAATTATGTCCTTAAAGTCAGTGCAACTTAAGTAAAGACAGTAAGAGCACAGCCTCGAGTAGTGATTACAGTTCTATCAGCACACGGGTCTTGGAAGAGCCACTTGTGACTCGTTAGTGCCCTGGTTCTCCCTGCTGGCTCTCTAGGGGGACTACCTGGAAAACATTTTTAAGCCATGCTCTCGCCTGATTCAGAACACCTAAGTCAGGACCTCTGAAGGTGTCGTCCTGACATCAGCATTGTTATCATTGCTTAACAGACATATTCATTAAAGTCCAGCATGCCGACGGTAGAGCAGCAAATCCCAGAAGTAAACACACCTGTGTTAGAACCAGCAACCAGACCAAGAAGCGGGACACTAGCAGCACCCCAGGGCCTGCACTGCGTCTCTGCCCAGTCGCTACCCACTTCCTCCAACTATCTTCGCCTGACCTCTAACACCGTGGACTCACGTTGCCTGTTCTTGAACTTCGCACGATCGGAATCACACTGACGGCATTCTTTTGCCTCCTTTCCGTCAGCAGTTGCGACTGAGACAATAGCCAGGCTGACGTGTGTGTAGGAGCTGACTCATTTTCACTGGGGGTTGGTGTTCCATGGTACGACTATACCACAACCTCTTTTTCCATTCTCCAGTTGAGGGAAATTGGGGTTTTCTGAAATAAGGCTACTCTCTGTGAACATTCTTGACCGTGTCTTTGGTAAACACATGTCCACGTTTCTATAGAGCAATGGAAATGCTAGGTCATGGGTATATATACACAATTAACAGACCCTGTTGACCAGTCTTCTAGAGATGTGTGGATTTACATGCCCACATCTGTGTGAGAGTTCCAGCTGTATCACATTCTCACCAACAAAACTACTGTCTACCTTTCACATTTTAGCCTCTCTGGTGGGTGTGCAGTGATATTTTACTGTGGTTTTGACGTGCATTTCCCTAATGACCGATAAAGTTGAGCACGTTTCATGCTTCTTGGCCATTTGGATATGTTCTTTTGTGAAGCCCCTATGTAAATGTCTTGCCCAGTTTTCTATTGTGTTGGTCCATCTTTTCTAATGGGCTTGTTTTTTTATTCTGGATATGACTCCTCCTTGTTTATATGTATGGCAATGTCTCCTTCCCTTCTGCAGCTGGCCTTTTACTCTCTTAATGGTAAGATTTGATGGAAAGAAATTATTAGTTTTAATAGAGTCCAATTTGTAGATCTTTTTCATATGCTAGTACTTTCTGCACCTTTTTTAAAAGGTGATTTTTTAAAAAAATCACTGCCCATCCCAAGGTCATTAATCCATCCTATTTTGTCATCTAGAATGATGCTGTCCAATAGAAAAATAGCGGGAGCCGAATATATAATTTAAAGTTTTCTTGTATTAAAAAGGAAAAAAAAAGTGAAATTCATCTTAGTAATGTATTTTATTTAACCCAACACATCCAGAATATTATCATTTCAACATACAACCAATATAAATATTATTACTGAGACATTTTGAATTCTCTCTCTCTACAGTCAGGTTTTGAAATCTGCTGTGCGTTTTGCACTTAGAACCTATCTCTAGTGGCTCAGCCATGTTTCAGGGACTCAGCAGAACAGCGGCTGCCATAGTGGACAACACAGATCTAGAAATTATAGTTTTACCTGCCAGTTTTATTTTCCACATCGACATTAACATTCAGATATGTATATACCTTTTAAAATTTTATTTATTTGTTTATTTTAAAGAGAAAGTGTGTGTGAGTGTGTGTGCATGAATGAGAGAGGGGCAAAAGGGGGAGGAGGAGGGAAGGGGAGAAAATCTCAAGCAGACTCCCCAGTGAGCACTGAGCCCCATGCGGGCCTGGATTTCATCACCCTTGAGATCATGACCTGAGCCCAAACCAAGAGTCAGATGCTTAACCAATTGAGCCACCCAGCACCTCAGTGTATATAAATTTTGAGGTTAGAATCAAGACTCAGGTGGTTTTTTTTTTCCATCTGTATATTCAAATGACTGTCCTTTCTGTATAGTATCAATGTTATCATAAATCAAAGGTCCAAACACATGGAGGCTTATTTCTAGAACCTCTAGTCCATTTCCTTGGTCAACCATGCTTTTGGCATTTAGCATTTTTTTTTTTTAGTTCCCTAGTTAATTCTTACATTCAGCCAGTATTGAGAACCAAGAGGTCACAAAATTTGTCCATAGCTATGACAAGAAATTTTATAGAGAGGAGCGGAATGGAATAGAAGAGAAAACATTGATATGTGCAGTATTATTTCATGAAACTTTTATTTCCACTAGAGTGTGTGTGTGTGTGTGTGTGTGTGTGTTTCTAAATTGAGATCTAAGGAGTATTTCTTACCATCAATGATTGTCCAAAAAACAGTTTAAAATCCACGACAATAGTGTCATCTGTGGAGTAATTACTTGGGAAAATCAGCTTGCATATTATTCTATAGTCATCATCTAGAAATGCTCTGAAGTTTCACTCTTACACAACTGGTGATAGACCAGACCTCCACACAAAGCAGATCTCCATTTGAAACAAGTCAGGGAAAGCCAGTTACGGCTGGTGGAACAGGAGGAGCTCATTAGAAAGCCTGTGACTTTGACCCAAAGAGGAATATGATAATGAGTTCGTGATGTAAACATTGCAAATGAAAATTGCTAATCTGCACAATTTGAAATTTGTTCAGCGTCAGTGGATTTTAGGTTTCTCAAGTTTTAATTGGATGTCAAACAAGAAAACAAAATTTGAGGGGAAGAAATTAAAGCCATTTTAGTTATTAAATGATGTTAAGTAACCTTTCTTATTGAAGAAAATGCTCTCAGAGTATTTGCTTGAATCTTGAAATGCTTATTTAATTTTCAGCCTACGTCAAGGTCAATCTAATCAACAACAATTTATTGACTCTCCACTAAAATATGTCTGGCAAAGGAATCAAAATGACAGAAATAGACTTTGTTCTTGCTTACAAGAACTCTATGGAGAACAATGGATTGTGGCATATGATTTTCCCTTCTCTTAGAACATGGATATAGTAAATAAAAATGATTTGAAGCCCCTTAATGTAATATTTTCTCTTTCCAATCAACCTAAATTCATGCCTTAGCTGTGATTTTTATAGTTTTCCCATTGAGAGGGAAAGGAGAAATGTATTTGGTGGTCATTTTGTAATATATACAAATATTGAATGATTATGTTGTGTGCCTGAAACTCAAATCGTGTCCTCCATCAATTATACCTCAATTAAAAAAATTAAAAAGCTGGGGACCTGTTTTCATTTCTCCCTTCTCCAGTCCTAATGACCAAATGTCCCGTGTTTCAGAAGGCACAGCTACAAGATGGAAGGAGACAGAGCCATCTATGACAGGAAAAGAAATAAAGTTGGGTGCACACATACACAATATTATATGTATCTTTTGGTTTTGTTTTTATATTGTGCACCAGCACATGAAGTGTGTATGTGTGTGTGTGTGTGTGTGTGTGTGTGAGAGAGAGAGAGAGAAAGAGACTACGTGGGGTATGTGTGTATCAATCCTAAACAGACAGATTTGGATACTTTCAATAAATATTTCCATTTCTTGCTTTCATAAAGATATAATTCAGAGATCAGTAAAAAGGAAACTTTCCATGAAATCAAAACTTTCATAAACCAAACACCAACTATGTTAGGCCTCTGGTCTGTTCAGTTACTCTCCTTAAGAATGCAGCATGAACCCCTCCCACAGACTCTCCAGTGACCAGGTGGGAAAAAAAACTTAAAAATAAAATAAAAAAATAAATGATTACTAAAGTGAACCAAACCCCTTTAACTTTACGTTTGAGGGGAATTTGGACACACAGTTTAAGAAATTTTAAATTCTCATACTTAGGAAGGGTGACATTTGTTTCAAGGTCACCGAAGCCAAATTAGTGCGCTCAGACTTTAAGGTATAATAATAATGAAATTTGGGAATAACTCTTTTGAAAACACAATGATTGCTACAGTTTATTTACAATCAAACATCTGTCTACCATCACCAAAAGCCCTGTGGAGAATTTTGGCTGTTAAAATGTACAAGGTCAAAGATTCTTAATATCCCCCATTCACTTGCTATTTGAGGATTTTATACCTAAGCCCTAGTTTATTTTAATTAGGTTTTTAGCTTGGTTTATGTTCTCATCACTTAAAAAAAAACCTCCACAAGACGAAATTTTAAGGTAATATGTAGGATAGGACCCCTACAATGATGAGATTGATTGTTTCATAGGGCTTAGGAAAATAAGTCTCTTTACTTTACACAGACTTCTTTCATAGTGCTAATTGTCTGGTCCGTGTAGGGTGTCCCAAAGATGTCTTCAATCATTCTGGGCCATGTAGGACCTGGGCCATGTAGGACCAATAAGGCTGGTGTTCTGGGTGTACAGGTGTTTCTAAGAGAAGGGAGACCTGCATTTGATTCCAAAGGGAGCTCCCTTGTGTTCCTTTAATCTCTCTGCCATAATCTGCAGTTGATCAGGATTCAAAGTTAGGGACAGATCGCCAAAACACCATTCTTGATGCCAACTAGCCCATTTGATGAACTTGACTATAGGCCCTTGGCCAGTAAATAAGCCAATTGCTCTTATCCAAATCCATTTTTATAAAGGTGTATTATCTCCAGTTCAATCTTTGGGCTACATCCCTAAATTCACATTGGGGAGGTCTTGGAAAGCCCAAGGCTGTTGTACAGATGGCCTGGAGCCCAGGGTAAATGAATGGTTGCCCCACTACTCTCTGTGTTTTATGAGACCTTGGAGCCAGACCCTCCCCCCATGCACAGCCTGCCGGTAGTGCCTTGGGGGCCCAAGAAAACTCCAGTGAACTCTGTGTGTGTGTGTGTGTGTGTGTGTGTGTGTGTGTGTGAAAGAACGCATAAAAACATATCTTTCCTATAACCGTGCAATGATTCGTACAACAAATGACCCTTGAGAAAGAGGTATCTGTCGTCCTTGCCTTTTGCCTGATTTTACTATGCTCTGGGGGACTCCTAACACAGGATGCTCACTGCTCTGCTTCAGGGGGTGTGTCAAAGCCAGATCGGCTCCGCCATAGAGGACCTAAATAATCACAAGCTGATTCCCCAAGGAAGTCAGTGACACTATGCGAGACTAAACCAGCACCCGTCAGCCCCCGTGAGGGCAGAGTCTTGTCTCCCTCGATCACCGCTGTTACCCCCTGAGTACAGAAGAGGATCTAGTTCACCGGAGGCATCAGCAAATAACTGGAGAAATGAACACTATACGTATCGAAAGCCTACCATTTGTCAATCATCCAAAAGTCTCTTTCTGTTGCTTCTAACAAATGGCCCTGTGGGATGGATATTTGAATAATTAGCTTATAAATAAGGAAACTTGAGGTTTGAAGAATTTCACTGACTCGCTGAGGTCACACAAACAGTAAACAGAAGGCAGGGATTCAAATTTAGATCTGTTTTCCTTTCTAGCCCATGTTCTGTCCACCACACCATGCCTTCACCCCAGGAGAAGCAAATTATAGACTGACCCTCAGTGTTTTGCTCTAAGATACTGAGTTAGCGTATTTACATATTATGGGTTCGGGAACCCCTCCGCATGACAAGGACTCTGAAGGGCTGAGAGAACAGAAGAGGAATAGGGAGGGCTCCAATCTCGTATTTCTGTGTGCGAAAGGCTACAGAATTTGGGTTTCCTCACTTCCCTGCTCTGCCACTGTACCTCTCACCAAACCCAAATGTCCTCATCTGAGAGCTGCACAACATGAGTTCTCTCTCACTGAATTAACTGGGAAATGCATTTATGTACAGCAAGGACTCCATAAGTGGAGATTATTACTAACCCAGAATTATGTAGATTATTACCAACCCAGAATTATCTTCAAACTCATGCCAATTAATTTGATTGTTTTTAGAAACGGCAGAAATATTTTTAGAGGGGAGACTATACAAGTATTACCTGTTTTCCCCTTAAAGAATTTACCCCTTTGTCTAGCAAATTCTACTGATGAAATTTGAAGTGGCAACCCCTTTAAAAAAAAAAAAAAAGGCTTGTAGGGGAAGAGGTATGAAGGTGCTGTTTAAAGTCAGAACCCTCACTCGTGGTACAGAAGGCACTGGAATAGTACGGATTAATGAATCAATGAATATGCATCGTCTGGTGAGTCCCCCAAGTTTCTTTCCCTCCCCCTGTGTGTAAGGCTTTCTAGCAAATAAACTTGCCTGAAAGAACATCCTGGCTAAACATATACGCTGGTTAGAAAAAAAGAAAACTATTGTGTTTCTCTCCCTGAGGCCGAAGCTGTAGAACTAATCAGCTAATGTCTTCTGAACACAGCATGGAGACTGTCTCGCTCAAGATAGAGCCAGCTTAGGAGAGTCTGCCGCTGTTAGGCGAGCAAGTCCTGCCTTGTTCCACATTTAAGACATTCTGACGTGGTCTGAAATGGCCTTGGCCATGCCACCCGGAGATCTGCGGTCACTCTCTTCATTTCTCCTTCCTCATAAACCGGGCTGTGCCGACGGAGGGCTCAGCCTCCTGTGATTCCACAGGCTGAACAATCCTGCCTAGTCCTACAATGAAGCTGTTTCAACTCGCCACAGAGCAAGTGCTACAGGTCAGAGGAGAAGTTTGGCCCCAGCATTTGCTCCACGACTGAATGCTTCTGAAGTCAAACTCATCAGGCGATGGGCTTCAAAACTCTTTTTTGTGTATCTCTCCCTGAAGAGCAGACCAAAAATGATCATTTTGAACATCTCTCTCTCTCTCTCTCTCTCTCTCACACACACAGTCAAGGCCAACGTGGCCAACGTGGTCTGAGCATTCTCAAATTGTAACAACATCAGTGAAATGGTGCCTACCTTCCAGAAACTTCAGTACACAAAAGATGCCCCTTGCCTGTGAAGAGCAGTCAGAGCCAGTCAGCCTCGTTCTCATCAGAGAGCAACACACCTCATCTCTGCGTAAGCTCTCAAATTCTTTCAGAGAGACCCACCCTCTAAAGTTGCACGTCTAGATTTCTGACTGAGGGCGATGGGTGACGTGAGGCAAAGCTACTGGATGGCACCTTCTGGTTCTTCCTGATGGGATGTTGCTTCCTGTTTCACCACTTGGGAGAGGAGAAAACTGGAGTTCAGTCAGACGCGGGATTACAAATGCATGAGTTGCCTCACCTTGTTGGTTCTGGTGTACACAGCCATTAGCCAACTACGGAACAAAATGGTCTCTGCCCTTTGTCCTCCAAGGAAGGGGTTTAGGCGGCGGAGAGAAACCTGAAACACTGTTGACAAGCCCACACTATCATCCGAGTGGGTCTGACAGCCATGGCACTCTCTAGAAGCCTGTGAGTACTGGCGGGGCTCTGTGCTAATGAAATCACCACCACAACCACCACCAGCACGCCCTGAAAACGCATCGACTGAGGAGCATCAGGCCCCGGAAAGGCGACCTCTCTGCCTGGCTCCTGGTAACTCGGGGAATAAATTCCCTTCTTTTGAACCACACCATGCCCTCAAACTGAAAGTCTGGCCCCCTTTTCCTTTCAGAACAGTCAGAGGTAATTCTCTTTGTTTTTGCTTCTGTCAGCCTCCGAGAACAGTCGTCACAGACAATGAAAGACAAACCTGTTAGTAGCAGGATACCAACAGTTGTCCGCCTCTCTGCCTCAAGCACTTCAGTTTCAAAGGCAAGGTTGCCTACAGTGTTTGTTTGAGACGGGAGACCTTTGGGGGCCGTTTCCACTTTTTCTTGCCTGCAGATGAAACCACTCCGGGTGTGGATTATTTAAAGGTGCCTTGACGAGCAAGGAAGCTTCGGCAAGTTGGTTCTTGTACCCCTGGGAGCCAAAGCTCACCTCCCAGGCGGTTCAGCAGCGCCACCCACTCTGAAGGCCCTGATTCAAGGCCCTTCCCATCAACCGACTTCAGCTGCTGAGAGACGTCTCCCTTCTCCTGTCAGCTAATCGATGACAGCAAATTAAAAATTGACTAGAGGCAGAGGGGGAAAGGCCAGTGTCAGACTCCACAGGTTCTCAAGTTTCAATAAGTGAATTCAGTTCGAAGAAGCAGGATTGGTCAAAGCCCATTCGCTAGATGCTTGGGTACTTTCCTCTTGGCCTGTTTTTCTCTTCCCAGACTTTCTTTTCGCCATGAAGGGGTTCTGAAATTTTAAAGCCCCTCTGGCAGGAGGGCTGAACTTCCAGCAGAGTGGTCCCTAAGTGGGGCAGGCTGTGGTTCAGATCCTGTTGCCAGGCGACTATGTACAGTTTCCTGGTCTTCCTCACCACACACTGTGCCTTTCTTGCTCCATCCACCTCCAGCTGCCACCGGACTTACCTTCCTAGTTAAAACTGTTTTTCTTTATCGTGTCTGTCTTCCCCGCTGATAAAGCTCTACCAGTCACCTTTTCCTTATAAGACTCCTTAGCAAGGGAGACTGGTCCCTGGTTACAATCTACCTAGCTCAATACCTCCTCCACGATCAAAAGAATCCCATTATCATTGCCGCACTGAGTCACTGTCAAGGTGTAGTCCCTTTTTCTTCAGGGACAGAGATAAAGATTAACCTGTTGCCCAATCTATGCAACCGAGTGCAGTAGCTGGAGAGATTGAAGTGAGGAATTCTGATGCTTTGTGAGTTATGACCTGGGGGAGCTGTGTTGCTAACACATCAGTCCAGGGTACCTGCCCGTGACCCCTTTACGGAGGACAAATAAATACAAGTATGGTTCTTTCGAAGACTCCTATGGTCATGCCTTTTCCCTTTCCTCTCTCTCACTTGTGCCTCATGATAAATTGATCAGGTCACTGCTAACAGAGGGGAGAGCACCCTGGGAAGCATGACAGAGCAAGAGGCCTGTGTGGGTGTCACTTCTTCTAGGTAATACTTAACTGTCTCATTTTATGAGAAAGGTTTAGAAGCGAGTTAAGGTATTAAATCTGTTGTATGTTTTAGATCCTCATTAATAGAGGTTAAGTTGTTTATGAAATATTAATGATTCAATGAGGCTTTAAAAGTGAACATCACACCTCTGACAATTAAAAGTAGGCAGTTAAGCCTGATATTAGGGGAGCAGAAAGGGCGGCATGACAAAACCCATGGGATTTTATACACAAGAGCAAGCTTGTTACTAAATGTTACTTAAGTGGGTAAGCTTGGAAAATACCTACTGAGTCTTTTTCCAAGAGTAAAACAAGAGAGGGGGAGAAGAGCAGTGAGGACACTTGCAAACCCAGTCGAGATTCTGGAGGACCACTTAAGAACTCACAAGAGAAAAACAGGGTAAACAGGACACGGGAAAATGGCCCTGGGGCCACAGCAGGAAGCTCAGAACTAGAAACTATGTCCAGAGCTCTGTTAGCCAGGAACAGAGGGTACCCGGAGTGTGGACACAGAGGAAAGGGAAGTGGGACGACTTCTGATATTCTAAATGGCATGTTACGTTGCAAACCTCAGGCTAATATTCTAGAGAAGCAAATATAAGTTTGATGGAATTGACCTGCTTTTACCTCCAAGGAGCAAATCCCTTCCGAGAAATTTAGTGAATACGCTTTGGGCCATATTGATCGTAACCTAATGAGTCTGATTTGGGAGGCTTTTATGAACAAAACCTCTGTTTTCTGATAGTGCTTGGTCTTATCATTTTCACAGACTTTTCCAATAGACAGAAATGTCAAGTCAAAATGCTACCAAGCTGCATATTCCTTAAATAGGTGTGTGGAGAATCTCCTATGGGATCTAACAAAACAAACCAATGACTTCACACATGCCAGGAATCTGAAGACTACATCTTCTTGACATAAAAATCTCCCCCGATGATTTGCCTGAATCCCCACAATGGATGACAGATTGTAGACATAGCTCGGAAATACTGCAGGCTTGGTTCCGGACTACTGTAATGAAATGAACATCTCAATCAAGCTAGGCAAGGAATTTTTTGGCTTCCTAGTGCGTATGCAAGTTATCTTTAAACTATACTGTAGTACATTAAATGTACAATTGCATTATATCTAATAAAATGTGTATTTTAATTTTAAAATACCTTATTGCAAACAATAGGTTAACCATCATCGGAGCTTTTAGCAAGTCCTAATCCTTTTGCTGGCGGAGGGTCTTGCCTCCATGTTGATGGCTGCCCACTTATGAGAGTGGTGATCTCCGAAAATAAGACAGCCGTGAAGTCGGCCGCATCGAAGGCCTCTTCCTTTCACAAACCATTTCTCTGTAGCATGTGATGCTGTTCGGTAGCTGTAGAACTTCTTTCGAAATTGGAGACAATCCTCTCTCACCCTGCGGCTGCCTTATCAACAAAGTTTATGTCACATTCTAAATCCCTGGTTGTCATCTCGCAGTGTTCACAGCATCTGCCCCAGGAGTAGATCCCATCTCCAGAAACCACTTTCTTTGTTCATCCCTAAGAAGCAACTCTTCATTCATTCATGTTTGGTCACGCGATGGCAGCCGCTCCGTCCCACCTTCGAGCTCCACTTCTAATTCTCATTCTCCTGCTGTTTCCACCACATCTGTAGTTACTGACTCTGCTGAGGTCTCGAACTCCTAGAAGTCATCCATGAGGGTGGGAGTCAACTTGTTCCAAACTCCTGTTCACGTTGATACTTGGACCTCTTCCTGTGAGTCACAAGTGTTCTTTGTGCCCTATAGAATGATGAATCCTTTTTGCAAGGTTTTTCAGTTTACTTTGCCTAGATCCAGCAGAGGGATCCCTACCTGCGGGAGCGAGAGCCTTATGAAATGTGTTTCTTAAGTAATAAGTCTTGAAAGTTGAAATCACTCCTTGATCCATCGGCTGGAGGACGGATGTTGTGACAGCAGGCATGAAAACAGCGTTAACCTCACTGTCCACCTCCATCAGAGCTCTTGGGTGACCAGTTACATTGTCAACAAGCAGTAACATTTTGAAAGGAATCTCTCTTCCTGGGTGGTCAGTGTCAACAGTGGGCTTAAAATACTTTGTAAACCCTGTGGTAAACAGCTATGTTGTCATCAATAAGTCTTAGTTAAGGCTCTGATAACACTCCTTCCCCCTGTGTTTTAAGCTGTATGTACCTTCTGCTGCTGCTCTTCCTCCTTCCATGGTATTTTCATTCCTTCAACAATCACTTATTGAGCACCTCCTATGTGCCTGAAAATAGGGAAATCACAGTGAACAAGGCAGCGATGGTCCCTGCTTTCTAGCTACTTAGAGTCTCCAGCCATGGCTAAGGCTGGAAAGGCAAGCATGTTCCCTGAATGTCAACAGCCTCTTGTTGAGCCCATCCACAGGTCCGCTGGGCTACACAGCACGTGCTGGGGTCTAACACTTCGGAAGACACCAAAGGGAGTATGAGCAAAGTACCACACACCACGTTGATTATTAAGGGTCCTTCATGCCTTCTCCTGAGACCTCACATCAAGAAAAATCAGCCCCCCCCCTTTTGACCACTTTTACATTGGGCTGGTTTTGAATTCAAAACTCAGATGTCCCATAAGTTGTTTCACTATTGGGTGCTGTCTGAAAGGGTTGAATAAGATGGGATGATTTCCATTCCTTTACACAACAGATGTCTCATGATAGAGCTACACCTGTCAAATATTAGTTTCTCTTTAAAGAAACTGGGTACGAAAGTCAAGTTTCACTAAAAATGAATGATACACGTCACCGAATGCTTACATGAATAACGGATAATTTTCATTCATTCACACGTTTATGGAGCTCCTACCAGAGCGGTTTTGACACCAGTAAGTATGGTTACAATAAAAATAGTTTGCTTGATCATATTAAACTGTCTGCAAGGCCCATTTGCAAAATAGAATACCAGCCATTTATAATTAAGTTTCTGGGCTAAACTTTAAAGGATATTATTGTATGCAGGGAAATTAGTCGCAACAACTCTCGTCCAAACTTTTTGTTATTTACACTCTTAAAAATAAAAAACAACCAACCACCCATTCAACAAACAAATGCAAATACAAAA